GGTTGTGTTGTAAGCCGCCAGCGCCCAATGGCAACGAAACAGGTTTTTCGCACCAGGTTTTACGGTTTCAAATACGACACATTGCGAAGCCAACGTCAAGCCGTCACCAAAACAGCCGCAGTCGCAATTGTAGCTGCGATGAATCGACTTTGCGTTGTTATTGTAGGTATGTAAATTGTATTGCTGTTTTACTGGGATTGCTGTTGGAATTTTTATGTCTTATGGGTGATTTACTAGCTGCCGTATCTGACCTATGCACATACATATGTATGTACTGCATACATTTCTGTTGCTTTTGAATGTATGTATGTATGCTTTGATTTGATTGCGCGCTGAAATCACCCGCAACTGCTTCGCTGTCTTTGGCCGCAACTGCGATTCGTCACAAAAATGTAAATTGAATATATCGAGGGCCAATGCATGACTCATGCAAATTATATGCCTCAATTCGTTTTGTTTTTGTTTTTGTTTTTGTTTTTTTGACCAACTCATTCCATTTTAGGTTTCCTCTTCTTGTATATCTTACTTACATACGTATTCACAGAATTTTATATGTAGATATATTTAATAAAGTATTGCATTATCTTATCTAAATTTTTGCCTTCTTTCTAGATCGATGCCAACAAAGATGGCTTCATTGACTTGAGCGAACTGAAGGAGGCACTAGATCAGGTCGGTTTCAAATTGCCTGGCTACCAGGTGCGTGAAATGATCGATGAGTTCCAAAATAAGCAACGCACATCGCATCAGGGTAAACTCAATATCGAGGAATTTGAAAACCTCTGTCTCGACCTCAAATCCAAAGATGTGGCGAGCACTTTCAAAACCGTCGTTTCAAAGAAAGAGAACCTCGAAACATTGGGTGGCATGTCAAGTATATCCTCTGAGGGCACCACACATTCAGTACGCCTGGAAGAGCAATTGGCCTTTTCCGATTGGATAAATTCGAATTTGGGTCACGATCAAGATCTAAAACATCTGCTACCAATCGACGCTGAGGGAAAGCACCTTTATCATGCGATCAAGGATGGCATCTTACTCTGCAAGATCATCAATCACTCCTGCCCGGACACTATCGATGAACGTGCCATCAATAAGAAGAATTTAACTGTCTATAGAGAGTTTGAGAACTTGACGCTGGCGCTCGTTTCATCACAAGCAATCGGCTGCAATATCGTCAACATCGATGCACACGATCTGGCCAAGGGCAAACCACATTTGGTCTTGGGTTTGCTGTGGCAAATTATACGCATTGGTCTCTTCAGCCACATTACACTCGACAGCTGCCCTGGCTTGGCTGGCCTACTGTTCGATAATGAACGCTTGGAGGATTTGATGAAGCTGTCGCCTGAAGCCATACTGCTGCGTTGGGTCAATCATCACTTGGAACGTGCTGGCATTTCACGTCGCTGCACCAACTTCCAATCAGATATTGTTGACTCGGAGATTTATTCCCATTTGCTGAAGCAGATTGCTGGCAATGATGCCGATGTGAATTTAGATGCCTTGCGTGAGTCTGATCTGACGTCGCGTGCGGAGATAATGTTGCAACAGGCGGCCAAATTAAACTGTCGCAGCTTCTTGACACCGCAGGACGTTGTCAATGGGGTCTACAAGTTGAATTTGGCCTTCGTTGCGAACCTGTTCAACAACCATCCAGGACTGGACAGACCCGAACAAATCGATGGGCTGGAGTCCATCGAAGAGACACGCGAGGAGAAAAGTAAGTAGTGTGGAATGGATATGTGAAATAAAGTCAAGAATATGTAGTAGTGCGTAACTAGCGCCAATAACCATAGAGCCTTTTGATCAATTTTAAATAACCTTCTATGTACTTTGTTTTTCGGGATTAATTGAATTGCAAAAAGTTTCGAAATCACTAATTCAAACCTATTTCTTATTTTCTACTATTCATTCACTAATAGCTTACAGAAACTGGATGAATTCCATGGGCGTTTCACCACACGTCAACTGGTTGTACTCGGATCTTGCTGACGGTTTGGTTATCTTCCAGCTGTTCGATATCATCAAGCCAGGTATTGTGAATTGGCCACGTGTGCACAAGCGTTTTACGCCGCTGCGAAAATTCATGGAAAAATTGGAGAATTGCAATTATGCTGTAGACTTGGGCAAACAGCTCAAATTTTCACTGGTCGGTATTGCTGGACAGGATTTGAATGATGGGAACGCTACTTTAACTTTGGGTGAGTAGAGAAAATATATGGCGAAATCATGGTTTTTTAAATATTTAACGTAATTGCTTTCTTTTCGTATGCAGCCTTGATTTGGCAACTCATGCGCGCCTACACTTTGTCAATTCTATCGCGTCTGGCTAACTCGGGCAACCCCATAATCGAGAAGGAAATTGTACAGTGGGTCAATAGCAAATTGTCTGCTGCCGGCAAGACATCCAGCTTAAAGAACTTCAACGACTCAGCTATTGCCGATGGTAAAATTGTGATCGATTTGATTGATTCCATTAAGGAGGGCAGCATAAACTATGAATTGGTGCGAACCGGTGGCACAGAAGAGGTTTGTGAAAATACAAAAGAGCTATATTAACACATATGTAGATAAATATGCTTCACTCGTAACTATTTCATATTTTCTTACAGGACAATTTGGCCAATGCTAAATATGCAATTTCCATGGCGCGTAAGATCGGTGCACGCGTTTACGCTCTACCCGAAGATATAACGGAAGTGAAACCCAAAATGGTGATGACAGTATTCGCCTGCATGATGGCGTTGGACTATATTCCCAACATGGATAGCGTGCCAAATCAGAATCAAGAACCAATTGCTGTGGTGAACGATGTTACCATCAACAACACAAATAGCCACAACAATAGTAACAGTAACAACATTAACAATACAAACAGTAACTAATGATCAATTATCGGGCGGCCACCATGTCTATATACTTTAAATAGGAAGAGTAAAATTGTAAACATATACATATAAATATATAAAATAAGCATCTGTAAGCAGCAACCAATAATGCAAAAAAAGAATGATTGAATTAAGAAAATTATTAAAGAAAAGCAACTATTCTTCAGCAATAATAAGAATGACCGTTAACGGCTGGAACTACAAGTACATAAATATGTATGGCGTTAAGCAATATACATACATACATGCAAACCTAAATAGATACAAACTAAAATTAATTATTTCGTCTTGTAACACAAAGCAACAATAACTTACATATGTATGCTATGTATTGTAATTTATTAATTTATTACCTTTGACAAAAAGTCAAGGCATTTTTTTTTAAGAGGAGAGTGCAAATGCACGTGCGCAGCATGTCGCTCTACCAGCCGATTTGCACTGTGCAAAGTACGATTATAAAGTGAAGCAGACATTATTATTGTATTATGATATAATGATAACCTTATTTTATAAATAAAGGTTTATTTTTACATACAGAGGGTGTTAATTATTTTAAATGATTAGAATAAAAATGGAAGTATGTACATAAAATGAAGTTTAACGGGATTTTACGTATAACAAAAGCGCAGCTGTTGTTGTTGTAGCAGCACTACTGGCAACAACAACAACAATTTAAAAAGTCAATATTTTGGTTTGCTACGTACCTACTAAAAGACATTTTTCCAATAACTGCATACGATTTTTAAATTGTACCAAAACAAAAGACTTAAGTAACAAACTGGACTATTACAGCATTCTATAGAAATCGAAACGATTTGTTTTTGTCACCAGTTTTTAATTTAAAGCCATTTTCATCGTTGTCACTACGACAGTAGGCGGTGATAGTCCTCGTTAGGTTTCCCTGGTCGATCTGGTAAGGTAGTACTATCGCATCGCATTACAGAGTAGACCCCCTGATAGTCGTGGGAAAGTATAAAAATGTGTAAAATTGCCATTTTTTAAACACGCGCAGTCATGCCCGGTAGCACTAATCAATTTTAAATTTACCAGCCTTTTGAAATTTAAAATAAATTTTGTTAGGAAAATTTTTCATTTTCAATCTGATAAATCTTTAAATTCACTGGCGAAACCAAGGCGAATTTACATAAGGTGGTGTTGTTTCATCAGCTGTGTGTATCGTTTGATTATCAAAATTTTTGTATTTCACTAGTGAGTGAGTGAAAACGGCAGAGTGTTTGTATTTTCTGCCGCCCTTTTTCATTCGGGGAAGAATAGCTGAAATTTGACAATAGCCCGCTAAAAGCAAAAACAAAGTACAAGTAATTCTTGTATTTGTAGAATCGATACCACCTTATATGAATTCGGCTTGGGCGAAACCAGGCATCAATCACACAAGCCACATGCAAGACGAAACTTCAATTTTTTACACAAAAAAAAAAACCAAAAATGCCCAGATGTTCAACCTGTCGTTATTAAAGGTTATCAAGCCACCACCGATTCGCCAATTGTATGTTCGCTTTTTTTTAGTTCCGGTCCTTAGCGAACAATTTGCAAGGCAGTCATCGATTCGCCACTTCCCTGCTCGCTATGTTGAAGTTCCGCTCGCTGAGCGAAAAATTCGATGGCGGCTTTTGTGTTGTTGTGACTATTTCCGCATCTACAATTCCATTCCGTTTACACAGTTCCGTTTCTTTTTCACTCTCCCCCACATCAATTTGACAGCCCAACTTACTAAACAGTTAGTTTTTCACGGCGCGGGCGGTTCGCAGTTTTATTCGCAAAATTTTGGGAAAAATTAACAAATTATCAAAATTAATACAAACTAAATGTGATAACGTGAATAGAAAGTGAGTGAATGAGTGAAAAGTAATACAGTGAAATTTTATTCAGTGTTAGAGTGCGTGATTTCGACAAAATTTTTTTTTTGCATTAGCGCGGGTTTTCCACGCTTAAATTTTTATTGCATCAGAAGTTCTGTGTGTTCTATCAAGTAGCAACGACTAATTTGAAGAGTTCTTTACTTTATATAGTGATATTCATAGGAACGCACACTCGCGCTTTTTTAATTCATAAAAATACTTGGAGCTCTCGAGGCGCACTTCCGAAACCTTATACTCCGATGGTTTCATTTTGCTTAACTACCTTAATGAATATTTTTTCTTTCAAATGTGGTGCACTGCTTGCTGTGTCCGTGTTTTCCAACATGCCGGCATCACTTGGCGATTCGCTTGCTGCAGTGCCATTTGGACCCTTTTCAAATGAATAAGATATTGTGCGTTTGTAAATACGTTGTTGAGTTTTTTGGACTTTATGTTCCTTCCCTTTAGCTGGACGTGACCTGTTGGCCGCGCTTCCACTGCTCCTTTCCCGGGGCACGTAGCATTTAGTAGTCGTACCATCACCATCCACGCACTGGTAGCAAATTTTTCCACGCCTCAGCATTTGTATGCAAGTGCTGCTGTCTTTTGGGAGTTTTACCTGCACGTGCTTGCCTTTATAAACACTTTTATTAAGCTTTTCAACACTTTTGTCCGCTCCGGCGGCTTCCATTTCTTCCAAAGACGTTTGCTCAGCACTATGTGATGTAGGCTCGTCAGTATCACGCTGTTTCTTATAACTGCGTTCCCTCTCGAACGAATAATTCTGTGGTTCACTTGCACGTGAGAAGGAGCATGATTCCGATTTTTCGCCACTGCGAGCATTTTCACAAATCAGACAATTTTGCTTGTGTTTTCTAACACGGCGACATTTTTCCTTTGTTTTGCGCTGTGAACGATTTTTCGTTTCCTCCGTAAGCGGTTCCGTTTCCGCAGATGAAGAATTGTCTTCCGTTTCAAAACGTTGTTCTTCGCTTTCACTACCTTCGCCATCTAGGGGTTCTTTATTGTTTCCACTAGAGTCGTTATCTTCTCCTAGTTTGTCGCTAAAATAGTGACGCACAAAATCTTCATAAGCCTTATCGTAATTGAATTCATTACTTGACGGTGCATTTAATTGATCTTCCGCGGGGTATGTGTTATCGGTTGATGAATCTGGCGTTGGTGAAAAGTTGGTATCCAGCTTGGCGGGTAATGTGAATGCGGCCGAACTCACATCCGATCTGCGTTGTGCTACAGTGTTTGGTATACTCGGAAATGATAAGCTCGAGCGTTCCAAGAGTCGCAACAGCTCTCCAGGTGCAAATGATTCCCAAAAACTTTGTTGTGTGCTCGGGTGCAATACTTGGCTCGCACTTAATCGTAAAGCAAACAAGGAGACCACTGGGATCAGCAAAGGTAAGTTCATCTAAAGTAAGTCGTTTTTATAAAAAAAAATGGTTTTTTATAACAATTATTTGAAGAACACCTACCATTGCCACGGGTTTTCAAAAGTGAATGACAAAATTCACCTGTATTTGCTGCCTTTATAAATGCAACTTCATGTTTGTTACTGCTAGGTACACTACCGGCTATTTTCTTTTTTGCAATGAAACCGCAACGTTTCACACTTCACTACATTCAGGAAATCGTTGCAAGTTAGTTTGTGGTGCAAGCAAATGCTTACCACAAAACTTCAGGGGACATAATTTTACATTTCCGAAAGTGGTAAAATAGGTAAACCAATTGCGTTGAATGAAAAAAGGTGGCAATTTATCCTCATACCCTTGAAGAGGCATGCAAATTCATTCCAATCGAAATCACATACTTATCTTGTTTGTATGTAGTAAAATTTTATTAAGCCTTAAGTTCTATTTATTAGCATTCATGTAAATATGCTTGGTCTGTGATAAACCATTTTGTACATAATAAATAATACATATTACACTAGTCTAACTAACTGGAACTGTATAACCAAGAATCAAACATATATCCAACATAACGTCCTAATCCATTATAGCTTTTACGGAATGTAGTTAAATTAACATTCAAATCCTTACATTCCATTTATCCACGGGTTCCATAAACTATTTATGTAAAAAATGGATAGTACAAACTAAAGAAAAACAATTCATGCACTTTGCGAGTGTTTGCGTTGATTTGTTTGTGTATATAGTTTCCATGTGTATTTACATTTGCTTTTGCCCAAAATTTGCGTGAATGAAGTAACTTCATTACAATGTTTCATGCCATATCACTTTGTCGCGTGCATGCGTGTCATGATTTTCGTTGTGGTTACCCTCCGTCCACCAATACTATGTACGACTATGCTGGACACCAATAACTATTTTTGATGCTTCAATTCCGGCAGTTTTGAAGTTTTTTTGTTGACGTTGTTGGCGCATTTCACGTCGTTTTTCACGTATCAACTGCTTAGTTTGCTCTGTGTCAAGTTCGTCCCAGCCACCATCGATAGCATCGTCTACCCAATCTTCTAGATCCGCCTGTAGAAAGAAAAATATAATTTGCAAAGTTTTTTCGTATAGTGGCCTTTAAGATAATTACATTCATTGCTATTGGCACATCACTCTTTGCTTCTAGGCGTGAAAAGTCGGTTTTATCATTACTATTGTCGCCCAAGTAATATTTAATTTGAGGTTGTATAACAGGTGCTAATTCCTATAATGGGGATGCAGTGAATGTACAAAATAAATATCAAATACTACGGGACTTACAGTAAAGAAATCTGGCTCTTGCTCAGCTGGTGGCGGAGTTGGTGGCTTAGCCAGTCGTTGACGATATTGTTCGATATGCTCCGTCACAGTGCGCGGACTTTCATCCCAAGAATTCCAATCGCGTTCCACCTGTGCACATATTTAATTATATCAATTGAATTATCAACACAAACCATAAGGAAAGCATATGTGTGTACGTGTTGTTGTTGCTGTGTCCGATTCCAATTGGGTGACTGCTTTCCTACCGGCACCGCCTCTTGACCATCACCTATCACAACTTTTATTTCCATTGGTTCTGAGAAACTCGGTTTTCTTCGTCTTCCGAAAGAGAAACAACACATCATTCGTCGCAGCAGCTTAACAATACTTAGTAATAGTGTCTTAATTTGTTGTATCACCATTGTAACAATTCCTTTTTGCAATAATAATTTTTATAAATTCCTCGATTTGTATGCTGGTGCAATATAACAGCTGACCCAATTGACAGCTGGATAAACAAATTGCGCAGAGTTGCATCGAAGCCCCAACGTAAAGAGTGCGTTACGTTACCCTTTACGCTCTGACGCAATCAAATATTTTTGTGAAATCGCAAAACATATAGGAGAAATAAATAATATCGTCGTTGTTTTTGCAAAACCGCCCATCGACCAGTTGCAAAACAGCATAAATCTCCATAGTGACAAAAATGAGATTTGATAACCCTGAACTCCAGGCATCGAGAATTATGAATAAAATCGGTATTAAAACAACAGATTGTAAAATAATAGCTAGCCGGCTATCAAGAAAAAAAGTTTTTCGATAGATAGGCGGTTTTGCAATTAGTCGATGGGAGGTTTTGCGACGATATATGTTTTAAGTGTGTTAAAACCCGCCCCTTGAGCTAGAAAAACAAAAGGTGGGCGTGGCCCGCCTCCTCTGACACACACATTTTTTTGGTGAAGATTAATAGGGGGTGTTAGGGAGGGGTAAAAGTAGAATATTCGAAATATTTAAAAGCCTATTTATCAAAAATTTTGAACCGATCTTTATTAATTAAAATACCTTTGATCTGATATATACATATATATATTTATATATAAGTATAATGATAAAATGCACCCTACACCACTGAATCTAAATATTTTGCGAGGCGATTTCGGTTTTTTTTTTTGTTTTGTCGAACGTAGGCGTCGCCTTTTTAAATTTTATTTCATATCGCTATTTTTGTCTCAAGGAGAAAAGTTTTTTGTTTCAGATTTCAGTTCCTCCACCCTAATGTCAGTAAATTAAAGCTATATAAAATTTATTAAAATTTAGCCCCGGAAGTATTTTGATTATTCCAATAGAGCTATTTCTAAAAGTTATTGATTGCCAAATGTAGGTGTCATTCCCACGGCATCTTATTCTACGTACCGGAATGACTCCACCGCCGCACTTGCTCGGGCTTAAGAACTCATCGGCAGTGCACCACGTCTTACGTGGCCCATGTGGTACTAATCGGACCGCCTCCACGGCACACCGTAGTTCGACCGAGCAAGCCAACACCAACACAACCACACTCCAATATAACACACACACACTCCAATACAACACACACGCACAGAGGAAACCGTACTCCCACCAACATGCCACTGCCGACAACTCCTAGTCCCTCCAACAATCTGCTCTGATGTGTCGGTCCAGCATATGACATCAGTCACGTGCCAGTGGCTAGTGCCACTTTAGGGCATGTTCCGGACTGTACGCCACGCGAGATTTGACGCGAGATTGGCTCCCTCTACAGCAGCACATACAGCAGGCGGCCAGAAGGAAAAAACACTCCTTTACACTACAAATTGCAACCAGTCTCCCTAGACACACAAAGATATTACAGTTCAACTGCGACGGATTTCAAAAATAGATCGAGGAGGTAACCGTATTCAAAAGCCGGAATGGCATTTTGATAGTTGCGGTCCAAGAGGCGTAGTTGCATTCAAGCCTGTCGAATGATCGTAGGGGAACACAGTTGGCTGAGCAGATAGGCGATTCGACATACTGATCAACTTGTCAACATAAATCAACTTTTCTAAACCTGATCGGAACGGCTTTGCGGAAGTTACTCAAAAAACCTTCTCTGCCCTTCCCACACCAACCGACGTTCACATAGGGGAGCGAAAGTTCTGCAAGGGTTGTCACTGCTGCTACAGATCGCTTCAATCCAGCCGGATGCATTTCGGACTCCCGTCGGAATTTTCCAGCTGAAGCGGCTGTTCCAGCCGATGAGCGTGACAACCTTCGTCAGGCCGATCCCGGAAATCCCCTTTTCAGTGAGATTTGGCAACTTGTGAACGAACATAAGCGGAAGAAATGGGAAGAGTGTTTGAAGACTTGCAGCTTCACCTCCGGTGTGAGCAAGCTTTGGTCAACCATGACAAACGTCGTTTAACCAGAAGGCCAACACCCAATGCGCCTCTTGTTTTCACCAGCGGTGAAGTTCAGGTAGCCATCGGGAAGGCGAAAGTCTCCAAAGCCATAGGTCCGGAGGGAATTTGCATGCTGACGCTGGAAAAATTGGGTCCTCCGAGAGCAGATTATTTAACTAAGGTCTTCAATCTGTCTATGGCCACCCTCATCATTCCGAAAAACGGAAACGGTAGTCCCACTGCCTAAACCGGGGAAACCTTATCGCCCGATAACTCTCCTTTCCCTGCCGCACTACACAGCGACGCATCAGCATGGGCTCCATAAAGTACTTAGCACAAACAAAGCACCTTAACGCCATTAACACCCAGATAACTTGTGGCGAAAGTAAACGGTTGCCTCTCCGAACTCTCTCACTTATTCGCTGCAAGAAGCCTACCCTGCCTACAACCTCTGTACCCAACTGCATACCGATGGGCCTTAAACGGCATTCACAGGGCGTCAGTCTTGAGTTACATAGAATCCCGACCTGTGAATGCCGTTGAAGATCTATCGGTATGCAATTGGGTTCAGAGGTTGTTTAATGAACCTCTAGACTTCATCCGTCTGTTCGTATCTAACCAGCTAACGCCCCCGTGGAAGTTGCACACTTCCTGGACTTCCCCTTAGCTGAGCCTGACGACAACGTTGACGGACAAGCCGCTACAACAACAATAACCGAAAAATTAAAAAAGTGACACCTACATAGATTTGGCCAAGGCGAACTTATATAATAGTAGGAGAGCCCATCAAACTAAACCGAGTAGAGTAGGGGTCCCAGAGGCCATACATATATTTGGTGACTTCATGCATGAGGGAACACGAAATGGGCCTGCTGCCTCGCCTAAGGCCAGTCAGGGCCCCAAAAAAAATAAAATAAAAAAAAATTGTGTAAACTTTGTTTTTCGAAAAAAATGTTTTCATTGAATAATTTGGCCATTTTTAATTTTTAAGAAACATCATAAGAACAAAAGTTGTAGGAAATTCAATTCTAACAAGTTTGGTCCTCATAATTTTCCTTCTAAAATTGATAGTTTTCGAAATAAACTTGAAACAAGCGGCAATCTCAAAATATTTCATTATATCTCGTTCATTTTCAAATCTACGGCATAAATAAGTAAGGTTAGACTTGAAGAAAATTAAATTTCCTACAACTTTGGCCCCCACAATTTTTCTTCTAGGACCGGTATTTTTTGATAGGAACAGATAAGTAATGCGTTGGCAATAACTCAATAGAACATAAGATGGAATGTTATCGAAATTTGGATGAGGGCAATACAGAAAGAAGATTGGTTATTCAAATATTTTGGTAATTAAATTTTTTTTTTTAATTTCGATTATCATACGTACGATGTACCTTGTGAACTTAAATTCTTTTTCTTAGAATCATCTTTGTCTTCTTATGAACTATTCTACTATAAATTCAATTCTTTTATTATTTTTTTTTTTTTTGTAATAACCTTGCAAAAATACTTAAGATCGGGTGGTGTACGGTGAACTTTCTTTGTTTACTGGTAAGGTGGTACGCTCTAATACATACACAAGAACTAAAAATCAATCAACCCCTAACGGTAATAGAATTAAAGGCTCACCACTTTAAAGGGGTGTTTAAGATACTTACGGAATCCATTTTTTGCAAAAAAAACTCTATAATTCATTATCAACTTATTAAATAAATATATATTATCTTTATTGTATGTATGTATATTTTCGTACATACCCGTATCATTTGGATGCGATTTTTTTAAACTAAAATTTACATCTTCACTTTTCAGTATAAGTACTGGCAAATATTTATTTATTGAATATCTAAATAAAATTACGTTGGTAATATCGTTTTTATTAGTCCGTTCTACTCTATACTTTTCAATGGTTTGTTCTTATAAACTTAGTCGAATGTGTTTTTTTTTTAATTACAAGTGTTTTCAGTACCATTATGTTACAAAAAAAATTGCTTATAATTACAAAGTATTCAAGTACGATTAAGTACTTTTTTATTAAACGAAAAAAAATAAATATAAGGAATTTTCTTCCAAAACAAAAAAAAAAAGGCTAACAAAAAGTTAGATGTTGCCATTACAAATTGGATTAGTTTGAAAAAAATATGTTGCTATTAATGCTATTTATAAATACAAATGTACATACATATGTGTGTACTTGAAGTCACTGCTTTCTCTTAACTAAATCGATAGTCCATTAGGAAATTATGCATTAACGTAAATAACCTAAAAAACTAGGATTAATGAAATTAATTATTCTTTCGATTATTTATTGATTTTGTCACACACCTACATACTTAAGTAATACTTCCGCATTTGTTTTCAAATTCCTTCTTTTTAACATTTCTGTTCTACATATCGTTACTTTAATATAGAAACGCTCTATCAAAAATTTTTGTTTCTTTCCGGCGTAGTTATAAACAGGGACGGAAAATCATCATTATTTTTTAAATTTTAACCAAAAAAATCAACAACTTGTAATCATCGCAAAACAATTTTAATTATACTCACGAATTTGTGCTCGTACGTCCTACTGTATTTCACAATGATTTTTATTTTTCAAGTTTAACCAATAACGATTAAAAATAGTAATTAATATTTGAGAAACTATTATTTATTGATTTTTATTTTTTCGATCAAAAATAATGATTGTTTTACGATTTTTATTATTTCGCTCAAAAAAAATAATTACTAATGAATAATGATCATTCAAAAAACTCAAAAGTTATACCAGCGTGATTTCCGACGCATTTTTTTCAGAGGTAGCGGCACTCTAATAAAAGAAAATACTTAAGTCCCGAAATTTTCGGCAGCATTTTAGTTAGTTGCGTCTGTTAGGCTTTTTAAATTTCATAAATAAGAATTATTTTTAAGTAAAATAAAAATCAAATAATAATTACTTCCGTTGAGCGAAAAAATTAAACTCAATAGTAATTATTATTTTTAAGCGAAAAAAATAAAAACCATAAAATAATGATTAAATGCTGATTTAAATTATTTTAGTCATAATGATTACCGTCCCTGGCTAAAAAACTATAAAAAACAAAAGTTCTTCAGTTGTGTGTTTTTTTTTAATAAACACAGAAACAAATTTTTTGATGTAGTTGTTGATTTTAAATTTGATAAGGTTTTTGTTCAGTAATCTGCCGACTTTTGTACAGAGTTGAATTTCGAAAGAAAATTACTTAGGGCCTTTCTATAATAAGGTAATGAATACCTATACGATCAAGTTCAACGTTTATTTTCTAACACATTTTCATTACAAATGTATTTATTGTAGGTAGTTATTGTGTTTGTTAGAAAGTTGTATAAAAAAATAGTACAATTTCAGTGTAACACCGACAGACACACTCATCGTACGTCTAACCTTACGATCTATAAGCATAATTTGAACTATCACATTGAAAATTGCAAATTTCACACATACATACATACATACATACATACATGTAAGTAAACATCCATACAAACGAATGCATGTGGATTTAAGCACTTCATTATCGATCATTTCATTATTTGTGAATTGCGCTTATTCATTACATTCTAACTCACATACGTACATACATGCCTACATAGGTACTATATTTAATTATTAATATACTCGTCTTCATTTTGTTAACTACATAACTATTTTTTCCGTTGCATAAACGAACATTTACCAGATGTACATACATAAATGCCTTTGCGCGTATCTGCATGCTTGTATTCCTCATACAAGTATGTAGTTTAGTGTAAGTTTCACTGAAATATTTTTATAAAAATATGCATGTATGTATTTCTTAACTATCCTGTGATACTCGTATTAAGCACGTGTTAGTGTTTGATAATAGTTTCTGGTCCAATTGTGGCATTAATGCCACCCTCTGCCGTCGTTTGCTTCTTCTCTTTCAAATATGTGATCGCATACTCGATCGTCCAGGCGATAACACAAAGGAATATACAAACTGTTTGTGCGTGTATACAAATGGGGTAACTGGTTGTGACGTCACGTATAAGACCTGTTTTGGTGGAGATAAGAGTTATATGCATGCATTAAATAAGAGTCTTCTCCAAAACGCACAAAAAAAAAACAATAAACATAACCTGTTTGCACTTACCGATCAGCGGCCCCAGACAGATGACAAATACGGCTTTGCCAACCAAATGCCAACCGAAAGCGGAGGGTAATTTCTCCAGCGAACAGTACTCGGAAACAGTTAGTGTGAAATTGGCCAAGGCGGAGCCACGGAAGAAACCACATATCGATAGCCAAACCATCAGTTGGGTCCACCCGGTTTGCTCAGCCATAACTGCAATTAAATATTAAATTATAAATAGTTACATCTTTGAGTCTTATTGGGTTTGAGTCATTCAAAATGAAAATTTTTAAGAACTTTATATTTATTTGGCTATACAGTATGAACTTCAGGCTTTATGTATGAAACACCATATTGTAATAAACATAGTGAAGTCAATATTTGACGCACGCTATTCTACAGAAGTTAAAGACCCACCTCAATTCGTCTAATAACATTGTGTAGGGTGGTATCTACCTATCATCCCTATGTGTGTAAGCATGTTGTGCCTTTGAGAACATGCGCCCCGCTACTCGTTGTTTTACATATAGGTAAGTCTATAGAGTATTTTAAAGAAGGGATGTTAGGCTAATGTGCCAATAGTTCATGGGGTATGCGTGCCCACTTCTGCTCACTTTTGCCAAGATCACCATCCTCGCAATCCCTTAAGTCGATGAAACGTAAGTCAACCTAAGAACGCTTTCAAAGATGTTGCATAGCCAGTCCAGCGCTCAAAACCCACTCTAATCTGAATGGCCTCACCATTTCTACAGCAAGGCCACCTCCTCCTGTAATAAAATATCGTGAAATTTCTCGCCTCTTGGAGTTCACTCGCCGACGAACTTTTAAATGAGTCTTTGGTTTACAGAACTCTGGTTCGGTGGAGCTCCCGATTCAATTGCAGAAATTCTGCTATGAGTTTTTTTCTCACTAGGTATGTCTTTCTTGTAGAAGATCCCTGTCCTAGTCTCAAAACTCGTTAGAGTCCGCACATTTTGCTAGCCTAAAAGTATCTCTCTCCCATTTCCTAAGATTACCAAGTTCGGGGCACCACCAAAGGGGTTTTACCCTTCCCTTAGCCCTCCTTATGGTGCAGTCCTACTCAAAAAGCATCTATTTAGTATATATAAGTACGCTAACATAAATTTTGTCTCCGTTCGTTTGGGGATTCTACCGAAAAATTTCAAAACCATGAACACCATTTGGGTACTTTTTTGTAGAAGAAAGGAGTTTCCATGGCATCGAAATTTATCGAATCATGGAAGTTTAGCTATCGAAATTTATCGAGTTATCGCAACGTATCGAATTATTCAAATTGATCAGTGTTTATTGAGTTGTCGAAATTAACGGTTAGCTATCGAGCTATACAATATATTTATTTTATATTATACCGGAATATTTCAAGTTAAAAAATTTATCAATTTATCGATATTTATTGAATTCTCATTATTTATACACTTACCGAAGTTTATCGAGTTATCGTAATGCATCGAGTTTTTTCAACTTACTGACTTATCGATGATTATTGATCTACTGAAATTGGTCGATTTATCCAATCGAAGTTTATGGAATTTTCAAAATATATCGATTTATCAAGGTTATATAAGTTTATCGAGTTATTACTGCTTATCGAATTTTATCGTGTTAACAGAGAACAACGAGTTATCGAAATTTTTGATAACTTTCGAAAAATATGGAGCGTCAAAATTAAAGACTTATAAAGGTATCCATTTTTGAGTAATCGAAATTTTTCGGGCCCTAGAATTTCAGAGTTTTCGAAATTAGTCGTTTTATCGAATTTTGTTGAGTTATCGGATTTTAGTGTTTTTGAAATTAATTGAATTATCGATACGTATCAATTTATTGAAATTTATCGATAAACTGGAATGTGTCGGGTCAACTCTAAGTCCTGCCGAAGTCCTTCAAAAATATAAAAAAATTTAGTGACGTTTTAGTTCAAAAGCAGAACATTTTTCGGCTCCAAGGCTCTTAAAAACTAGGAAAACGTTTGAATTTCGACCTGTACAGGACCCTTCATCCAGTCAGCTCTGCGCCAGACCCAGTACAAAAAGTTAAATAAAGAAAGGTGTTCGACGTTTTCCCCATGTATGTATGTATGTGAGAACCTTGCCGCTATTAGCTACGCTTAAGTTGCTATGAAGAAGGGAGCAAATATATTTCAGCCCAAGTGAACTCCGTATGACATGCTATTGACATGTATCAATGAACCAATAATTATACTTACTCGAACGGGTGATGCCCACAAAGATGATGGAAACCAAGAACACAGTGCGCTTCTTGATGGTAGTACGATCGAATATGGGCGGGAGTATTATACGCGCTAAAATATCTGTGATGGCCGTTATGGACAGGCAGAAGGCAACATCTGTTTTATTGTAGCCGAGATTGGCAAAAAAGAATGGCGTAACCATTTTGAAATTCATCTCGCCGACGTAGAAGATGGACAGTCCGAAAAGTATGTTTAGAAATATTTTATCACGCAATAAATCAACATCCATGAGATCAGCGAAACGTCGCCAGAAGCCGGGTTTCTTCTCCATCTCCTTCTCCGGTGATTCTTCATATTGATCAGTCTCTGCAGGGCGCATTTTAATGAATGAATCGCGATGCGCATTCGCCATGCCACCCGTCGCAGTGTTGACACGCTTCAACTCGCGATCATTGCGCTCAAACTCTTCATCGCCTACATTCATGTGCACCTGCAGTATGGAACCGGTGAAATCCATGTAAGACAGATTCGATGTAACCGAATGTTTGCGATTGCGTAGTGTCGTATTCACATCTGAATTAGACTGGCTAGTATTCACCGCCGATTGCACGCCGGCTAGCGACATTATGCGCGGAAACGTGGGACGCTTTGGCATGCCTGTGCGCGTACCATTCATTGTGTTCATCGCTATTTCAGAGTAATTCTTGCGCATATATTGCTGCTTGGAAAAGAGTAACGTGTTTAGCTCAGGTAACGCGTCTTCTTCGTTGCCATCCTCCCGTATGACTTTAACGTCCGGTGTGGGTGGCGACACCGGCACCGTCATCATTTCCTCATCGATCACTTCATCGATCATATGCCACTTGGCGGGCTGCAAGAGCACAGCACCGACTGTGGAATTTAATGCTACACCGGCCAACATTAGCACAGCACCACGAAAACCGAACGCTTCGAGCAGAACACGTACCAGTTGTGGCATTATCAGCATACCCAAGGCTGTGCCAGCCATGGATAATCCAACAGCTTGTCCGCGTTTGTTCTTGAAGTAGTGATTAAGCGCGACAAAGGCGGCAGATGTTGAAAGTCCGACGCCAATGCCGTTGATCACACTGTACGTACTGAGTATGTGTGTCATGCTGGCTGCGGGTGAGGTGGCCGCCAAGCCTATGCCGCATAATAATGAGCCGGCGACAGCCACCTTTCGGTACGAAAACTCCTTGAGTAGCGGTCCGACAAAGAGCCCTGAGAAATTCATGCACACATCGAGTGTGCTCATAATAACCGCAGCGCCGGTGGTGCCGACATCGAGATCGCGCAGCAAATCGCCGAAGAGCAGGCCGAATGAGGGCTCGATTGAACGGGTGGCCAACTGAAATGTATAGAAAATGAAAAGAAATTAGATGTTATGAAAGTGAGACTCTTTTGTTTATACTACTTATCAATGTATGTACTATGTATGTATGTATGTATATATAATAATACTAGATTGGCTCTTACACATATGCTAATGTTGGGCCCAGCTTATCCTCCAATTTGTGGCGTGCGCCTTGATGTTGTCACACAAAGGGGAGGGACCTACCAGGGTTTGAAAAACTGTCAGCAAAGCAGCAACGGCATTACTATTTTTGCTTTTGCTTAGCTTTGAAATTTTCGATTTCGGTTCGAACTGCTTTGATTTTGCTGTAACTTTGAAAAGTTTATTTTGTTTTTTTATCGGCAGTTTATTTAAACAATTTTATTGCTTTCGATTTGCTGTGATAGTGCTTTTGCTGTGCTGTTATCTGCTTGGCTGTGTTGTGCACATGACGCTTTTGCAGCGTGGTATATTATCTAAGTACATATTAACTCCGCCATCAGTGCAAAGCTTATCAGGGTAAGCGACTAGTGGATTTGCGCACGCATACATATAATATCCTCTATTTCTGCCAATTCGATGCTTCGCAGCAAATTTATAATCAAATTGCTGTTGATTTGCTGCTGCTGCGCTGTCTTTGTGCTTCCACAATTTGCTTTCGAAATTTCATAGCAAAACGGCAGCCAAAGCATTTGCTTTTTTCTGAATTGCTTTTGCTTTGCTTTCGATATCATACATGCCGAAGTCAAAGCACAGCAAAAGCAAATTAAATAAAAATATTACAGCATTTTCAAACCCTGGGACCTACAGTTTTACGCCGACTCCGAACGGCGATTGTATTTTTATGAGAAACTGTTTTTCATGGCAGAAATAAACTCGAAGGGAGGGGCGACCGCTGTTAAGAAAAAACCTTCTTTCTATATTTTTTGCGATGTTGCTTTGACCAGGGCTTGAACCGGGGTTCTTCGGAGTGGAAGCGCGCACTGCTAACCACTAGACTAGAGAATATCTGCTTAAGTATGTATACACAATTTATTTATCCTTGTATAAATAAATTATGGTATATGTTTGTTATATAGATCGATCATTTTAATCAATAACCCTTGACTTGATTGATGAACCTTGGCGAAAATACATAAATACGTATGTATGTATGCCTTAAAACTATGCGTTTGTTGTACTATATTTTGTCAACATAAATTTTATATGTTCAGTTTTTAAATGATGACATGAAAATTAATGAAAAATTCCAAAAAAATGATTCCCCCGTTTATAAATCATGGACAATTTATATCCGGTTTTTAATGTCCGAAAATATGTTTCTACTTCATATATGACCAAGGCTTATGGCCAGTTTTTACATTACTAAAAATTAATGTCCGATTTTAAAGGTCAATAAAAGGAATGCTCATTTCTTATGTATCTTACTAAATGCAGTCTCAGGCGGAAAGAGCTTTGCTAAGGATAACTTGTACCAATATGGGAGCAAAAAAGTTTCTTAATCGTAGGAAGTTGGACATTCTTACGAAGAAGTGCCCTGAAATTTCAATACCGAGGGCTACCGTGTCTTACAAAGAGGTTCATAACTGATCTGAGTGATAAGAAGAGCTGGGTAGACATATTCCGGACCTATCGGACAAATCAAAACATGATTACCTAGTACACTGATGGCTCATTGACCGAAGAGGGTACCGGCGTATGTAGGTATTGTTGGACCGAGGTTAATATACACGGAATCCGTGGGAAAACATATGTCCGTTTTCCAGGCTGAAATATACGCCATAGAAAAATGAGCAGAACATCGCGATCTTGACTGGCAGCCAAACGGCTATCAAGGCCCTTAGATATCACCACGTAATGGTGATTGAGTGCCTCAACAAGCTCAATACTCTTGGTCTGACCAATCGAGTTTGGGTTCTCTGGATTCCGGGACATATAGGTATTAAAGGAAACAATATTGTCCACAAACTAGCGAAGAAAGAAGCATCAACCCCCTTCATCGGCTTAGAGCCCTTCTGTGGCTTAAGAAAAGGGGATAAGCTACCAGGCCTAGAGTAGTCCAAGGCACTTTTAGGGACATATAACCTAAACCGCTTTTAAGGAATGTATCAGCTTATCCAGGAATAACTTAAGAATTGTAATAGAAATTCTGACAGGACATTACAGGCTGAACTATCACTTGACTAAGCTGGGAATTTACACGCGGGAGCGATGCAGATTTTGCGGGACGGATATCGAGACTGTACAGCACATCTTAGAAGACTGTCTTGCACTGATGCGCAAACGCAAAAGACACCTAGGTGAACATCTAATAACCGAGGACGAAGTGAAATCGGCAGATTTAGGTTCGATACTAAAGTTTCACTCGGATACTGGATTAATAGACACACTATAAATCCATGAAGGGGTAAATTGAGAAAGAGAAATTTTATTTCGATGTGTGAACAGCTAGAAAGACCTTTCTGTCACATTTCGGAAATCAGTTTTAGAAATAAAAGTTGCAAGATGTGACTGCAGTTGTGCTCGCGCTGCTCTAGCAATCTGCAAATCGCCTTTTGGAAATAAAAAACCTCTTTTGAAAGACACTTTACATGAAAATGTCACTGCTCATGCAACTGATTTCTGAAATTTCTCAATTTGATAGCCTTTTCGAAATGTATTGCATTGCTACGTCTGACAGGCTCTTACGAAAAATTTCTTCAATTCAATTAAATTTTCTGTTACAATTTATTTTTTTTTTATAGAAAAAAAAGCTACGAATCAGCTGTTGATAAACATAGTTTACCAGACTAATAAAATAAAGCTGCAAAGGACATTCAAAGTTGATAAAATTACCGAGTACCAACTAGCAGTTTACCAAAACTATGGAAATGGGTGTGAAGACCCCTCCCTGCAGAAAAAAAATATCAATTGATTAAAGTAACCAACTTGTAGTTAGCTTTTTTGCGTGATTTCGATAAAAAAAACTAACTTCTAATTAGCTATGACAAAACCAACTTTAAATTAGTCGTTCAGGAGTCATACAGACGTTATAAATTTAAATTTAAATAATAATAATAATAATAATACAAAATTAAATTTAAATAATTCAGTACACTCTTTTCTACACTTCGTAGATTATTTTTCCAATGCAGGACAAATAAAATAAAGATCGAAATTTTACATTATTATTTTGATGCTATGTCTGATGGAATTCAAATGTGGGACCACCTACAAAATACCATGTAAGCAAATATGTAATGTTGTAATGTTGAATAAAATATTTAAATACAAAATATAAAATATCTTTTTTATTGGTAATTTATGTCCAAAAGTAGTTAGCTACAAGATAGTTGACATCTAATGCGGAGGCAACCAGGGATCACTATTTTGCGGCCATCGCCGTTCAAAAGTTACGGCCAAAGGAAATAGTTAATAAATAAGTTACAACTAGTCGACTGCTAGTTAGTTAATAGTTAGCTACAAACTAGTCCCATTTCCTGCAGGGCTATTATAAACAGAAGGGTTAGACTGGCTGAAATGATTGCTATTAGAGCTATTGCGGATTAAAATTGCTTAGCACTCAAACTTAAGTTAAAAATAGCTTATAAAATTTGTTATTCTTGGCAAACATAAAAAAAATGATTATCTAATAAAATAATACAATATAACAAGTAAGAAAGTCTAAGTTCGGGCAGAGCCGAACATTAAAT